GCGGTCAGTGATTATTGGTCCTTACTGTTAGATCTCTAACTTTAGACCAATTATATTGACGAATTGCTCAACTGTTGTGCAACTGTTGAGTTCGCTGAACGTACCCATTGCGCCCATTCAGTATTACAATTGCTCACTGAACGCTCAGTGAGCTTTTAAAGGCCAAATCATACTAGCGATTGGCGATTGACGATTGACAATTAAAGATTAGATTTTAACAAATCAACAAGCTTTAGCCTTGGCTTGCTTTGTTCCAATTGGTCAAGTTCTAATCTTCAATCGTCAATCATCAATCGCCAATTGCTAGTATGATTTGGCCTTTACATCCCATTGGCATATTCTTTTATATCTCAAAGTATATATCAATCAAATGTAAGAGCTCATTGAGCGCTCAGTGAGCGGTTGTAGTACTGAATGGGTGCGTTCAGCGAACTCAACAGTTGAGCAATTCGTCAATATAATTGGTCTAAAGTTAGAGATCTAACAGTAAGGACCAATAATCACTGACCGCTCACTGATCAGCTATGTTTTCTGAACGCAACCATTGTCTCGTTTGCAATGAATAATAGGGAATAAAACGTAACACGCTTGTGTGTAGAAAACGTAACTTTTGGACGATTTAAACTTATGCATTAGTAAAATATATTATTGCCGAATGGTCTAGAGTATGTTAATTTGTGTATTAAATGTGTAAAAGTATACAAAATTTAAAGACATTCACCATTTTTTTTTTTTTATAGATATATTTAAAGTGGTTATATTAGATCTCAAACATATACTCCTATAACTTTCGACAGCAACTGACGAAAGATAAATCGTATCTGTATGTTACAAATCTTCGAGTTGACAACATGTACAGAATGTTTACGGGTATATCGCAGAAACAATTAATTGTTGCTGTTAAGAAAAGGTAATTGTACTGAAACATAATGTTGAATATTTTATAATGTCATTGATTCAATAACCCCAATTTCATTATAAGTAACGAGTAACATGAAACACATTTATATTGTATCTATTTTTTAATAAAAAGCTTTATATTATTTATGACAATCTTTGATTTTTTAGTTATACACAGACAAAATACTTCAATGCCTGGCAGAGATGTAACTTCTCTTCTCAAAAAGAACCTCCTGGATTAGAAGTTCAAAAGAAAAGTGTTACACCATTTCCTCCACTAACAAAACCTATTCCAAATTTGCCAACAGCTGTTTACTCTACTGCAAAGGAGGAACATCAAACAACGCAAATTACAGTCTTACCAAATGGTTTAAAGGTAGCATCAGAAAATCGATTTGGACAATTTTGCACTGTAGGTGGTAAGTTACATCATAAGATATAATACAAATTTTATTGTATCAATATATCAATTGCAATCAATATAATTGAATTATATTTATCTAGGTTGATACATAAAGATTTATATACATTTAATTTTTAGTTCTTATCGATTCTGGTCCAAGATATGAAGTTGCATATCCCAATGGTATCTCACATTTTCTTGAAAAGCTGGCATTTGGTGTAAGATTCCATATTTTAAATATTTTTATAATATTTTTAGCATATAAAAAATAAATTACATAGTTTATTAATGTATATTTGTGTACCTAGTATAATTCTGCAATATATATAATTTTTAATAAGTAATTTATGTATTATAGACCATTCTTTCATTAAAGTCTTTTAATAAATGCTTAACTTATGATCTCTATTATAAATACATGCACTATTATATTGTTTGTTTCAGTCCACCAACACATATAATAGCAAGGATGAGATAATGCTAGCATTAGAAAAGCATGGTGCTATATGTGATTGTCAAGCATCTAGAGATACATTTATCTATGCTGCATCGGCACAACGTCGTGGATTGGATTTAGTGACTCAAGTTTTGGGTGATGTCGTTTTACGACCTCAAATTACAAATGAAGAGGTATATACATAGTATGTAATGTAAACTGTTCCATACTTTACTGCTTAATCAGATTAAAATATACATCAACAAATATTTTAAGATTGCAATATATATATATATATATATATATATATACACATACATATATATACATACACTAAAATTTTTAGGTTCAAATTGCTAGACAAATAGTACAATTTGAATTGGAGTCTTTACACACTAGGCCAGAACAAGAGCCGATATTAATGGATATGATTCATGCTGTAAGTTTCAAATTTTAATAAATGTTCTAAACTTATATTTTTCTAAATATAACATTAGAATATGTTGTTATAAAGAGAATATATAATTATAAGTATATTTTACTGTTAGGCCGCATACAAACACAACACATTGGGCTTGCCCAAAATCTGTTCAGAAAAAAACATTGAAAAAATTGACAGAAAAATTTTACATACGTATCTCAAATATCATTATGTACCAAGTAGAATGGTGGTTGCTGGAGTTGGTGTTGAACATGAAGATTTGGTCCACGCTGTTAACAAGTAATAGCTGTAAACTTTCAGTAGATGGTAACAAAATAATTAAGAAATAATTCAATAAATTCTCCAAAATAAATAGAACACATTCTATGTTTTTAAAATCTCTTTATCTAAAAGCGTTAATAATATTATCTTTAACATAGATACTTTGTGGATCAAAAACCTATTTGGGAAGAACAGACTGATCTTATTCTGCCAAATTATAAAAATAGTGTTGATGGGTCTATTGCACAATATACGGGAGGATACGTTTCGGTATTTATATATTTTTTATTGAAACAACTAGCTTTTTATATTTTTACTTCTACATCGTAAAATGAAAAAAATAAAAGATTTTTTTTTACATCTTTAACAGGAGGAATGTAACGTGCCGATTTACGCAGGACCTAGTGGTCTGCCTGAATTGTCACATGTTGTCATAGGTTTAGAAGGTTGTTCCCATCATGATTCAGACTTTGTTCCTATGTGTGTATTGAATATGATGATGGGAGGTGGTGGCAGTTTTAGCGCAGGTGGTCCTGGAAAAGGCATGTACACTCGCTTATATACCAACGTATTAAATAGGTAAGATACAATTATTTTTACATCCTTCTACATACTCTATTTAAATATAAAATGAGAAAAATAACTGAGAATGTTATTTTAAATGATTAATATTACACACAGGTATCATTGGTTATACAGTGCAACAGCATACAATCATGCTTATGCTGACACAGGACTGTTTTGTATCCACGCCTCATGTACACCACCTCACGTGAAAGAAATGGTAGAAGTAATTGTGCAGGAAATGGTCGCAATGGCAAACGGAGTCACAGACAATGAATTAGCGGTATGATTATGATTAGTATCTATTCTTCAAGTTATCAAAATAATGTAAAATATATTACTGTCTACGTTAGTACCGACATAAATCTAGTGCACGTATGATTGCAAAAATAAAATAAAAGAATGGAAAAACAATAAGAATAAGGATCTTGTATATACACACATTTTACATGTGTATGTGTTTATAAATTAATTTTGAATATTACTAAATCGCTATTTTTTATTTTATAATTAAATATATTAATAATTATATATTAATAATTCTACTTTTTATGTGTAGAGAGCAAAAAAGCAACTACAATCGATGCTACTTATGAATCTGGAACAACGACCTGTTGCATTTGAAGATATAGGTAGACAAGTCTTAGCAACTGGTTCCAGAAAACGGTCAGAATATTTCATAAAAGCTATTGGTAAGTCATAAAGTTCAAATTTAATATAAACTTCGAAATGCGTCTTTTTATAAAATGACCATATCAGTATTGTTTATAAAAAAAATTTATATTTACAGAAGGAATAACTAAGGACGATATTAATAGAGTAACACGACGATTATTGAAATCATCACCTTGCATGGCGGCACGCGGTGAAGTGAAAGCTGTTCCTTCTTTGTCAGATGTTCAAAGCGGTTTAATCGATACGCAAGGTCGGTTACCCGGTTCTCGTAGCAGGTTATCACTTTTTCGTTAAAATCGTACCCGGCTTTTTGATCTAAATAAATGTTACTTAATCAGTTCTAGTGAATTAATAATTTAAATACTTAACATTTAATTATATATTGAATTAAATCTTGTACGATATAAAATAATAAACACATGTATCTAATATAACTAATCTGGATAATAATTTCGAAAAAATTACTGTACATTTTTTAACCTCATTAATAGTATTTTACATTTGATGAAAATTATATATTGAAAAAAAACCAGTACATCTCACTATTGCTAAATGATTTTAGTTTTTATGTACTTGCAATATGTTTTTAATATATTGATTGAAGTTTAGATTTTATATATGCAATATATTCTGAGAATATGTTTAATTATACAAAGATAAAATTATTTATTGTTCAGCAGCATGAAAAACGAAAAAATTTTGCCGTCAAACGGAAACATAATACAAGATGTGAAAGATTGAATAGTTTGTTACTATGTACCATATGCCTGTATTTGAACATTCAATTATGAATGTGCTGAAAAATATAAGTACATAAAAAAATATTGTTGGTGATATAAAAATAGAATTTAATTTTATATAAAAAATTTTTATTATAAACTTAATTTGCATTATAGCAATAATTTAAGAAATAAATATCAATTATTTGTATTATACAGAGTATATCAAACCATCCGTGCCACCTCTTTTATTCGGCAACTAAGTGTTATACGGAGATGAACAAAAATTTTTTATAGGAACTTTTACCCATAGAATCAATTGGCTACTACGATTTTCCGGAAAAAATTGGAAGTAATCGAAATAATGAATGTTGTTTGAAAAGATCTATTGAATATCACATTCAATACGAGGGTGGTCTGAAAAGTTTCCGACCTAACAAAGATACAAGTCATTTTTTCTGAAAATTGTTTTTTATTTTTCAACATAGTCTCCTTGTAAATCTACACACTTCTCCCAGCGATGCTCCCATCTCTGTAACCCGTCGAAATAGTACTCGGCGTTTTTCTCTGCAAAATAATTGTTCACGAAGGTGATTGCCTCTTCATTTGACGAAAATCTCTGTCCTCCGAGCGCAATTTTTAGATGAGGGAACAAAAAGAAGTCGCTTGGGGCTAGATCTGGTGAGTAAGGTGGATGGT